GTTCAAAAGCATCAATTCTTCACTGTTCAGCTTTCTTTATGATCCAACTCTCACGTCCATATATGACTACTGAAAAAAACCATAGCTTTGACTAGACAGACCTTTGTGGGCAAAGTAATGTCTCTGCTTTTTAATATGCTATCTATAAAACTCAATTTCTAGGACCATTCAATGAAAGCAGGGCCGAATCCTAGTTTAAAAGGGGAAGTTTGAATTTGTTGTCATTCAATAGTAATTATAGTTCACGTTTTTAGAAAAGACTAGTTCCAGAAAAACATCTACTTTTGCTTTATTGACTATGCCAAAGCCTTTGACTGTGTGGATCACAACAAACTGTGGAAAATTCTTTAGGAGATGGGAATACCAGACCACCTGACCTACCTCTTGAGAAATCTGTATGCAGGTCAGGAAGCAACAGTTAGAACTGGACATGGAACAACAGACTGGTTCCAAATAGGGGCAGGAGTATGTCAAGGCTGAATATTGTCACCCTGCTTATTTAGCTTATATGCAGAGTACGTCATGCAAAATGCTGGGCTGGATGAAACACAAGCTGGAATCAAGATTGCCAGGAGAAATAGCAATAATCTCAGATACGCAGATGACACCACCTGGTAGAAAGCAAAAAAGAACTAAAGAGCCTCTTGATTAAAGTGAAAGAGGAGAGTGAAAGAGTTGGCTTAAAAAGCCCAACCTTCAGAAAACTAAGATCATGGCATCTGGTCCCATCACTTCATGGCAAATAGATGGGGAAACAATGGAAACAATGACAGACTTTACTTTTTGGGCTCCAAAATCACTGCAGATGGTGACTGCAGCCATGAAATTAAAAGACTGTTACTCCTTGGAAGGAGTTATGACCAACCTAGATAGCATATTAAAAAGCAGAGACATTACTTTACCAACAAAGGTCTGTCTAATCAAAGTCTATGACTTTTCCACTAGTCATGTATGGATGTGAGAGTTGGACTATAAAGAAAGCTGAGCACCGAAGAATTGATGCTTTTGAACTGTGGTGTTGGAGAAGACTCTTGAGAGTCCCTTGGACTGCAAGGAGATCCAACCAGTCCATCCTAAAGGAAATCAGCCCTGATTATTCATTGGAAGAACTGATGTTGAAGCTGAAACTCCAATACTTTGGCCACCTGATTCGAAGAACTGACTCATTGGAAAAGACCCTGGTGCTGGGAAAGATTCAAAGAAGGAGGAGAAGGGGACAACGGAGGATGAAATGGTTGGTTGGCATCAGCGATGTGATGGAAATGAGTTTGAGTAGGCTCCAGGAGTTGGTGATGGACAGGGAAGCCTGGGGTGCTGCAGTCCATGGGGTCACAAAGAGTGTGTGTGTGTGTGTGTGTGTGTGTGTGTGTGTGTGTGTGTGACTAAACTGAACTGAATTCCAAAAGTGACAATTTTATCTGCTGCTGCTAAGTCGCTTCAGTTGTGTTCAACTCTGTGCAACCCCATAGACAGCAGGCTACCAGCCTCCCCCATCTCTGGGATTCTCCAGGCAAGAACCCTGGAGTGGGTTGCTATTTCCTTTTCCAATGCATGAAAGTGAAAAGTGAAAGTGAAGTTGGTCAGTCATGTCTGACTCTTAGCTACCCCCATGGACTGCAGCCTACCAGGCTCCTTCATCCACGGGATTCTCCAGGCAAGAGTGCTGGAGTGGGGTGCCATTGCCTTCTCCGACATTTTTTATTTAGGCAGCAGCAAATAGAGAGAGACCCAGCTTTACTCGTTTAGGAGAGACCATTGTACACAGATTGTTCATTAGCCTTTAAGTTTTGTTTTTATGTAACAGTTTATTCTAAAGAGGCTTATTACTTTTATATTTAAAAAATCTAACTCACTTTCCTTGAAAGTGAAAGTGAAGTCACTGAGTCATGTCCGACTCTTTGCAGCCCCATGAGCTGTAGCCCACCAGGCTCTCTGTCCATGGGATTTTCCAGGCAAGAGTACCAGAGTGTTTTGCCATTTCCTTCTCCGGGGTATCCTCCTGACCCAGGGACTGAACACAGGTCTCTTGCCTTGCAGGCAAATGCTTTACCCTTTGAGCCACCAGGGAAGCCCCACTTTCCTTAGAGATTATTTAACTCATTTGGCTATTTTGAAGAATACTAACACTTCGAATTCCAATAGAATTATGTTTGTTTGTTTGTTTGTTCTTTTATGAAGTTTAGGAACACCTCTGATCTTTCTTTTTTTTTCTTTTGGGGGCTGACTTTTTTCTTCTTTACAATGAAACTCTATATAAAGTATTCCAGGCGGAGTGTTTTTGCTCAGTCATGTCCAACTCTTTGTGACCCTGTGGACTGTAGCCCACCAGGCTCATTTGTCCATGGGATTTCCCCAAGCAAGAATACTGGAGTGGGTTGCTACTTCCTCCTCCAGGGCAATCTCCTCAACCCAAGGATTGAGCCCATGGTACTTGAGTCTTCTGCATTGGCAGGCAGGTTGTTTTCCCTTAGCCCCACCTGGGAAGCCCAAAATTCTGTATATAACTCTGTAAATTATGTAAGTTTGATGTATAGTGATTTAAGTGTTTCTCTTTTTAAAAGGGAGTCAGAAGAAAGAAAAATCTTTTTTGATCCTAGGACAATAACAGTATTAAAAATTTAACTGTTTAAAAAAAAGAAAGAAAAAACATTGACTGTAGCACTGAATTCTCCTGGAAAAAAAAATGCTACAAGTAGATTCATCTTAGAGGTATTATTTTAAATAGCAGTTAGAATCAACACAAAGCTTATGACAAGAACCAAATATGATTACCTCTATCTTTGCTTGGCACAATTCTGACACACTCTCAATTTTAGGGTAAAAATGGTGTTCAAACAACTCTAGGGAAAGAGAAAAATAAACTGATGAAATGGAGAAATTTCAAGCAGGCCAAGGTCATAAGTAAAATATACTTTTTTTATCTTCTAAATTAGAAAGTAAAATCCTTTAGGCAAATTTAGCTAGTACTGAGTAGATTCTGAAAAAAAAATAAATGTTTCTCTTTTTTTCCTACCTTTATTGAGATGTAATTGATATGTAACATGGTGTAAATTTAAGGAGTACAACATGCTGATTAAATACACTAGCTAGATAGCGTTAGCTAGCATAGCATTAGATAGATAAATACATTAGCTAGATAGCATTAGATAGCATTAGCTAACATCTCCAACATGTCACACTATTACCATTTCTTTTTTAGTGGTAATAACTTCTAAGATCTACAGTCTTAGCAACTTTCAAGTTACTATATTGTTATTCAGTCACTTAGCTGTGTCCCACTCTTTGCAACCACATAGACTGCAGCACGCCAGGCTTCCCTGTCCTTCACCATCTCCTGGAGCTTGCTCAATCTCATGTCCATTGAATCAGTGTTGCCATCCCACCATCTCGTCCTCTGTCATCTCCTTCTCCTCCTGCCTTCAATCTTTCCCAGTGTCAGGGTCTTTTCTGATAAGCCAGCTTTTCGCTTCAGGTGGCCAAAGTATTGGAGCTTCAGCTTCAACATCAGTCCTTCCAATAAATATTCAGGACTAATTTCCTTTAGGATTGACTGGCTTGATCTCCTTGCAGTCCATGGGGCTCTCTAGAGTCTTCTCCAACACCACAGTTCAAAATCATCAATCCTTCAGTACTCAGCCTTCTTTATGGTCCAACTCTCACATCCATACATGACCACTGAAAAAGTTATCATATAGTTACTCTCAGTTCAATTCAGTTCGGTTGCTCAGTTGTGTCTGATTCTACGAGACCCTATGGACTGCAGCATGCCAGGCCTCCCTGTCCATCACCAACTCCCGGAGTTTACTCAAACTCATGTCCTTTGAATTGGTGATGCCATCCCACCATCTCGTCCTCTGTCATCTCCTTCTCCTGCCTTCAATCTTTCCCAGCATCAGGGTCTTTTCCAGTGAGTCAGTTCTTTGCATCAGGTGGCCAGAGTATTGGAGTTTCAGGTTCAATATCAGTCCTTCCAATGAATATTCAGGACTGATTTCCTTTAGGATGGACTGGTTGGATCTCCTTGCAGTCCAAGGGACTCTCAAGAGTCTTCTCCAACACCACAGTTCAAAAGCATCAATTCTTCTGCACTCAGCTTTCTTTATAGTCCAACTCTCACATCCATACATGCCTACTGGAAAAAGCATAGCCTTGACTAGACGGACTTTTGTTGGCAAAGTAATGTCTTTGCTTTTTAATATGCTGTCTAGGTTGGTCATAACTTTTCTTCCAAGGAGTAAGCGTCTTTTAATTTCATGGCTGCAGTCACCATCTGCAGTGATTTTGGAGCCCAGAAAAATAAAGTCAGCCACTGTTTCCACTGTTTCCCCATCTATTTGCTATGAAGTGATGGGACCAGATGCCATGATCTTAGTTTTCTGAATGTTGAGCTTTAAGTCAACTCTTTCACTCTCCTCTTTCACTTTCATCAAGAGGCTCTTTAGTTCTTCTTCACTTTCTGCCATAAGGGTGGTGTCATCTGCATATCTGAGGTTATTGATATTTCTTCCAGTAATCTTGATTCCAGCTTGTGCTTCATCCAACCCAGTGTTTCTCATGACATACTCTGCATGCAAGTTAAACAAACAGGGTGACAATATACAGCCTTGACAATATACATCCTTTCCCAATTTGGAACTAGTCTATTGTTCCGTGTCCAGTTCTGACTGTTGCTTTGTGACCTGCATATAGTTAATCTATAATAGAGTATTTTTAGCTACAATCACCCATGCTGTTCATTAGATCCCCAGAACAAATCATCTTATTACTGGAAGTTTGTACCCTTTGACCAACATCTCCCCATTTTACCCCTTTTCAGCCCCTCATCACCACCATTCTCATCTGTTTCCATGAGTTTGGCTTTTTTAGATTCCACATATAAGTGATACCACAAGGTTTTTGGTACTTATCTTTCTCTTGCTGACATTTCACTTAGTACAATACCCTCAAAGTCCGATTGTATTGTCTGTGTTCTTGATGTGCATTATTATCTATCATTACAGGAGGACACAGATCATAATTACTATATATCTCGGATATATGGTCCATCTGATTCTGCCAGCCGGGATTTGTGGGTGAACATAGACCAAATGGAGAAGGACAAAGTGAAGATTCATGGAATACTGTCCAATACTCATCGGCAGGCTGCAGTAAGTACTTTGACGTTTTGAGTTTCTTTTTTTTTTCTGCTGTGAAAAAATTTTTGCTTTACCTGACATACTGACATTGTTTGTTATGATCACTTTTATTTAGTTTGTTATGATCACTTTCATTTAGTTCTGCATTTGCAGTTTAGATTGCTAATTACAGATAAGATGTTGTGGAATATGATAAAGAATTATTTTGAGAAGCCACTATTAATTTAGCTATTAGCTAATTAATTAGTCACTGATCTCTCCAGTAAGTAGAATGAGTTGCATATTCCATTCAAAGTTGAGATTTATCTTGAGACTTTTCAGTTTTCTTGTCATCCATGCATTTAGACAACATTTTTAATACAATTGCATTAATTCACAATCTTCCATTTTATATGAGTTTATTACTCTTGGTCTCTGAAGATGACTTAACTAGACACATTCATGATTCAAATAACACATGTAGACTAAATTACATGTGGTAAGCGAAGAAGTTTAATATAAAAGAAAATAATTAATTAAATCTAGAAGGCTCCAAATGTACTTGAAACCCAAACTTAAATCACTTAAACCAGTGGTGGTTCCTTAAACAGGTAATTTAATTCTTCTGAGGCACAGTTTCTGCATCTATTCAGTGGAGAGGACAGGAGATATTAAAGCAGGTCTCCCTTAGCTTACATGGTCACTGAATCTGTGTTCTATGCATCAGGTTGAATGCTTACATGGATTAGCTTTTTAAAAATTTTTATTTCTTTATTTGTGGCTCTGCTGGGTTTTTGTGTTTTTTTTTTTTTTCTGTGCGAGGGCTTTTCTCTAGTTGTGGAGAGCTGGGGAGGCTCCCTAGGTGTGGTATGAGGCTTCTCATTGCAGTGGCTTCTCCTGTTGCAGAGCACAGGCTCTTGAGTGTGGGCTCAGTAATTGTGGCACATGGGTTTTGATGCCTTGTGGCATGGGGTATCTTCCTAGACCAGGGATCAAACTCATGTCCCTGTCTTGGCAGGCAGATTCTTAACCACTGAACCACCAAGGAAGCCCAGCTTTTTCAGTTTTCACAGCAGTTCTATAATTTAAATATCATTTGCCATCTAGGTATTGCAGATAAGAGAACTTAACCTTGGAATAACCAGCTTCTCTAAGGTTCTCATGCTAGTAAGTGGTATGACTCAGGTGCAAACCTAGGCAGTCAGTCCCTTGTTCAAAATGTATGTGTAAAAGTTACTACTCTTGGTTCTTAGAATATTCTTTGATAATCATTCTGTCAAAGATGATTCCTGATTTAACATTTTCAAAAGTTATTTAGTTTCATTGCCACTGATTACAGTGGTGATCTTACTATCAGTGAAGCAAAGTCCTGTTCAGTTTAGAAAAATGTGCAGAGAAAACAAAATAACTTTAATTTTTCAAGTGCAAATGCCAAATATTATTGACACAAAAATAGAACTAATAAGAGTAATGGCTGATCTGATTTACAGAGGCATTAATAAGATAAATATAATATATCAAAAATGTTGGCCAACAGCCTTCATTGTGTATTTGTAGATGTTCCTGTATCAGGAGATCACCTTCTAACAGTTGAAATGGAAATTAATTGTATCATGATACTTCATTGAAGTTCAGAAGCAGATGAAGTAGCCACCTCCCCTTGCTGAATTATGTCATTCCTTTTCCTTTGCATATTCAAGCAGTCTCAGAGAAGATGACAGATTCAGAAATGATTCATGGTCTGGCTTAGAACAGATCTTCAAAAGAAGATAAAATAAGAAAGATTGGATTAAGACCATGTTTTTCAGGAATGTATTGCATTTGACAATCGTCCCACAATATCACAGTCCCTAATAATATATACTTTATAAGAGTTTGAACATTGGCATATCCACATGGAAATTCCAGAATATGACCTAGTTCTGGTGTCAGACACTGTGAGCAATGTCTGTAAGCAAAGGAAGAAGTTCATCAGTTAAAATGCTAGCTGATTTCGTCTTAGACTTTCCCCTATGTTTTCCCACAGGGGAGGTAGTTCGTGTGTCTTGTCTTTCCTAAAGAAGATTTTTTTTTTCTCTTTGGAATAGAGTTTGGTTGCCTCATAACAACTTTCTGATAGTTTTGAGAAAAAATATAATGATATAAAAACCTATTTTTTTCTTACTGTGATTGTGAGAGTGACATTGTTGGTTTGAACACCAAAGATTGGCTAAAACACAAATGGAAAGACTTGAGCTTGAGCTTGAAACTTATCTGGTGCTCCTTGCATTGATTTTTAAATATATATCATTGATAGAAACCTTTATTTTAGTTACTGTGCCATTGGTTTTCCATGAGAATCTAAACCATTATCAAGAATTTATTACTGCTAGAAATTCGTCCAGAATCCACTTTCCCTATCACCACCAACAGAAAACACACACACACAAACATTCACATCCAAGTACATTTTAATAAATTCAATTTATAACAATAAAGTTGATAATATCATTTAGTTACTTTTTTTCAGGAAAAACTTGTCATTTAGACTTTTTCATTCAAATAGTTTTATATCTTGGAACTTACAAATTTTCTTACTAGAATATCTTATAAAAGTTTCCTACATTCTTTATTTCAGAAGTATGATTGTTACATATTTGTTTGAAGATTTCCAAATTGTAGACAGTGATCCATGTTTCACTATTTCTTCCATTGGCCTGCTCATCTTTCCAATCCTGCCTTGTTCTCTTAGCTCCATCTCTAATATGCCAGCCTTGGAGTAGAACCAGGTTTTAGAGGTGATGACAGAATTGTAGTGTTAAGGTAGTGTTATGGCTAGGGATTCAACAATGCCCACATACACCCTCTTCCCCCACCCCTTTCCACACACACAACACAGACACTCGGCCACAGCTACTGTCCCCTCTGTGATATTATTGAGAGGCTTAACCCCGAGGGAAAACAGCAAATGGGAAACAATGATCCACTTCATAGATTAGGTTCCTGATATAATCATCAAAATCCTTGATGCAGAGCTTTCTGGTGGACTTCCCAAGTGGCGCTAGTGATAAAGAACCTGCCTGCCAATGCAGGAGAAGTAAGAGATGCAGGTTCAATCCTGGGGTCGGGAAGATTCCCCCAGAGAAGGGAATGGCAACCCACTCCTGCATTCTTGCCTGGAGGATCCCATGCACAGCGGAGCCTGGTGGACTATACAGTCCATTGGGTCACAAAGATGGACACGACTGAAGCGACTTAGCTTGCAAGCCCCCTCTGGTAGTTTGGCTGGAAACGGGACTTAAGTTTAACCTCTAAGGGAAGAGGGGAGTTCCTTAAGTCTTAGCACCAAATGATGAACTTTGCATACCCAGGTCATCCTTTCTGTCAGCCAATTAGACAAAAGAAGGGAACAGAAAGATCTAGCCTAGGGGAGACACGAGGGCCCGCTGGTTAACTCACCCAGCCCTGGGCAAAGGGAAGGAAGTTAGAGAGCTGAAAACTGGGAAGGCTGCCCTTCCCACTTCCTCCCAGGGGGCCAGAGGAAGGTGCAGGCGAGTCTGACCTGGAAACGTGACTTTGTAAAGTATTGTCCCCTTCACCACTATCATTTATAAATGTGGTCTGAACAATATTTGGGGATCTGGGATTAATTTTCTAGAAAAGGAGGTATGTTGGATATAGCGTAACAGTTGTCTCTTTTCTCCCATCCACAATACTATTATGCTGTCAGAGTAAAACTTATCATTTAATTCACATTCTTCACGTGCCAAAACACCATGATTTCTCTTTCCTTTAATAATGTAAGGTAAAATTATTAGTATTTATATTATATATGTATGTATGTATGTATATATGTACTACATACATACATATATACATATATATGTAGTAATTTGATTACATGTTCCTTCAATTTCCCCTTTGTCCTCTTTTGTTTAGATATCTCCTTTGTTCTTTTTGGGTTAAATAACATTTCTTAAATCATATTTGCAGTAAAAACAGATATTAAAACCTAGTTTTCCAGTTGGACACATTAAAGGAAGAAGCATGTCTTCAAATACTAGTTAAAGGAAAGCAAAATATTGGCATAAGTCTCTATCACATGACAAGCAATGAGTCAGCAGCACCTTACCTTCAAATACTGGTACTTATTTGGGTTTTTTTGTTTCTTATTCAAAGTCCACAGTTATCAGGTTGCAAACTTAGAACTTTCTGACTACAAACCTGAGAACCAGTTGAAACTTTTTTTTTTTTAATTTCTATGAGGACCTTCAAATGCCACAATTTTGAAATTTTTCTTCTGTACTTCTCAATCCATATAATTTAATTTATTGCTGGACACACAGTTTGATTCAACAAATTAGATTCAGACAAATTAGAATTCATTTGTCTTTTGAGATCACAGTTTATGAAGCTCTGATTCACAACTTCTACAGAAGCACCATCGTCCCAGTGGAAGGAGTCTGGGGTTTTACAGAAATTATAAGACCTTGACTCCAAAACTCATTTTCTCAGATTCAGGCCTCTCTGGACCTCGATATTATAACCTAGAACAAAGGGGAAGGTGCCTGCTTTGACTCTCCTCCAGTGTTATTTCAAGAATAAAAATGAAATGAATATGAAAACATCTGAAAACATCAAATAACAATGAGGTAGTAATGAGGCAGGATTGTTGTTTGAGTCCTAATTCTTCACAACAAAACATATTAACCTCTAAATATGTTAATTCCTAAGTAATCTCTAAGAATCTTCTTCTATAGATAGATATGTACCTATATATTTATATCTATATATCTTTAAATAATTTTTTTGCCAGGAAATTGCCAGTGTGCTTTTTGTCAGACATAAACATACCCTGGCTTTAAATTTTTTCTTTAAACTATCTTTCTATGTATTAGTGAGAAGATTGATTCTTTATATAAGAAACACTAGCAAAATGAAATGAAGTATTGCTCTCCTGTCTACAATAAAGCTGGTAAAATTTTAGATGATACTGGTACAGTTTTGATGGTAGAATGTTTTAAAATTTTTAAATTGGATTGTTCTCTGTGGGG